ACGGGTCAAATCAAACATTCATATTGAACGGACGCTCAACGCACGCACTGCGATTAATCGCGCGGGAAGACAGCTCAACGCACGCACTGCGATTAATCGCGCGGGAAGACAGCTGACGCACGCGCTGTGGTGGTTGGGGTCGGAGAAGAATCGTAGTGTCGAGTTCTTCAAGGTCAGCCTACCTAGAATACAAATTCGTCTCACCATTCTTAGAAGTGCGTGAGGGCAGCTGTCGCATAAGTTTGTTTTATTGCTGGTACAAATGGTGTAAACCGGATAATCGATTTAATAATGTTTTTTGGGAGTTTTAAAATTAAGTTCGAATGCCAAAACATCCTCTTCGCCCCTCTCCTGCCCAAAACAAGTTCACTGCCCCTCAGCATCCTCCCACCGCCCCCGTTGAGAACCAATGCTATAACCCAACGGACAGCTGAAAGGCTGTTAATAGAATTAATTCTATTCTTTCTTCAATATTAGGAAATAGAGAGAGCCAGTTTGGAGTAGTGGTTAAGGCATCAGGCTAGAAACTGGAGACTGTGAACTCTAGTCCTACCTTAGGCATGAAGCCAGCTGTGTGGCCTTGGGCCAGTCACTCTCTCTCATCCCTAGGAAGGAGGCAATGGCAAACCACTTCTGAAAATCTTGCCAAGAAAACTGGTGTCAGTTGCCAGTTGGTACCAAAACAAAAACAAAAACCAGGAATAGAAGGTTCAGATATTCTTTCCTGTTTCTGATCAGGAAAAAGCATATAAGAATGGTATTGTATTTGCTCCAGTAGCTTGTAGTCTTTTATTTGACTATCTTAAAAACAAACTGGTACACTTTAATTCTAGCTCCTTAACTATTGAAGGGTTGGGTTCTAGCTCCCCTAAAGCAGTGTATAATTGTCAGACTTTGTGTGGAAACATGTCAGCATTTTGCAATATAATAAGGTCACTAAACAAAAACTGGAAACTTCACAAAGAATAACCTTTACAGTAAAAGTAAACTTGGTGATAGCACAATATGTAGAAACTTCTCATATTTCTGTTTTTCCATTATCTTTCAAAAAATGTTGGTATTGTGCACATTTTTTCATCCTTTATCTAAATTGCTGTGCCCAGAGCAACCAGGCTATTCATTCAATTTCCCATGGTGGATCATGTATAGTGTACAGAGATTGTAGATGCCACCTGGATTGTATCGTGTAGATGGACATTTGCCTTCACTTTGCTGTATGATTAACACTGCCCAGGAGTATATTGTATCGTTATATTGGCTTTCTAAGTTAATGCTTAGAAAGCCAATATAACATTGCACAGATAATAAGATATTAAAATAACTGAAGTTCCTACGCATGGGAGGTATGCAGATTGTTACATATACAAATCTGTTTTCAACTTGGTACCCTCCAGATGTTTTGAAATTGCAACTCCCAGAATTCCTATCCAGCCTACAAAGGTAATTCCAACTTATCTGAAGGGCCTCAGGTTGGGCTGACACTGAAACACTGGGCTCCAATGGACAGAAAAGTATGTCCTATTAAGCTTTCCTACAGAAGGATTGGTGTCACTAAACAGGACTGCCCTATATTGTCAAGCAATTTTCTTGCCTGTCTCCTATGCTTGGCAGTAGCTAGTCAAAGGAACAGTGATAAAGAGAGACCTCTATGAATTTGTAATTATACTAGCATATTTTCTCTGCCATGTTAGCTTTGAGGCAAACCTTAATTTCTGTCCCTTGTGCAGAGAGCCCATCCAAATCAGTATCTTCTACAGTTGCTTTCTGAGATAGAAAGAGAGAGAGATGGGAAACTCCAATCACAGTGAAGTCCCTAATAGTATTTAGTCAGCTCTGAGGATGTCCTACAAAGCTCTAGGTCAGTGTGTCTATTTATGTAAGTGGTGTGTATTGTCAGAGACAGAGAGGAGTGCAAAATGGGAAATGGTGTTTGTGAATTTTGAGTTGTTTTTAACTTTGCATGGTTTGTCATCCTTTTTAAAAAACAATACCAACCAAACTAAATTTTTATTTATCTTAAACTATGAGCAATGCCACAGAAGTGGGAATAACAGTTGACTTCAGCATGAATCACATTCACCTTGGATGACAAGAAGAAAACATTGGTACATTTACACTGATTCTCAGTTATCCTAACTGCTGCCAGTTTAATGTTTCATTATTATTTTTTTTAAAGGTAATTATTTATCATTTTTAGAGAACGGGAGCTCCATTCTCCCCTTCTGTACACAACGTTCTCATTTCTAAGTGTAGGAAGTAAGTGTTGAATACTAAACATGCTGCCAAGTGCAATAGCAAGAGAAGACCAGTTTCCTGTACCTTGAATAGCCGAGCAAGGCAGTACAACAGCTTTTCTTACCCTTCTTGATAAGATCATATCTCCAAAATTCTTTATCTGCATCAGAACTATTTAAAGTACAAGAATCCTTACTGTGATCCTTTGTTTCAAACTTTCTGAACTACACAGAACAGGAATCTGTCTTCTGTACTGTTAGTACTACGAGAAATCAAATGCTGTGTGATGTAGCAATGCTACTCTCTGTTTTACATGAAGTCCACAGTCACTTAATACTAAAGCCATGACTCAATGCTCTTTAGCCTAAAACAGTGTTTCTCAACCTTGTCAACTTTAAGATATGTGGACTTCAACTCCCAGAATTCTTAGCCAGCAAAGCTGGCTGGGGAATTCTGGGAGTTGAAGTCCACACATCTTAAGTTGACAAGGTTGAGAAACACTGGCGCCCTAAAGCAAGCACAGAGGAGTTTTCAACTGTAGCAAATTATTTCCATGAAGGCAACGTCAGTACTGAATCACTGTGACTTTGAGCCAGACATTTTCTGAGCCTGCTTAAGGGTAGTTGATGTGAGAG